TCCGGTGTGTGTGTGTGCAGGTGGGCGGGAAGATAGAGTGGGCACACGTGAGCACAATTTTGGCACGCCATAAGAAAAAAATTCGCTATCACTGGTATAGGGTCTCCTACTTGAGTAAGGGATTGGACTAGAAGACTTCCAAGGTCCCTTCCAACTCAGTTAGTCTGTATTATAGTTAAATATCTAAGAAAGTTGCATTTATAGAATCACAGAATAACAGGGCTGGAAGAGACCTTGGAGCAGTGGTGAAATTCAGGTTTTTTTTTACTACCGGTTCTGTGGGCGTGGCTTGGTGGCCATGGCAGTGGAAGGATATTGCAAAATCCCCATTCCCTCCCCACTCGTGGGGCCAGCTAGAAGTGGTATTTGCGAGTTCTCCGAACTACTTAAAATTTCAGAACCTGCTGAATTTCACCCTTGCCTCGGAGGTCTTCTATTTCAAACCTCTGCCTAAGGCAGGAGAACTCATACCATTCCTGCAGAATGGATGTCTAGTTCATTTGGAGTATTGTATGTATTCCAATATTTGGAACATCTATAATTGCATAAAGAGGAGAATCACATCTGGATTGCAGAACTCCGGCTAAGGGTTAGATGGAAACCCAGGGGTATCCAAAATAAACCCTCTGCTGCCATCAAGCGCTCCTCTGAATTGTTTCCGCGTGGCCACTTCTTCAAGCCTGCATAATGCACAGACTCTTCCTTATTCAAAACAACCAATGAAGTCGTTTGTAGCATTCAAAAACAACAATAACAACAGACCAACAAAAAAAAGGCCCTCTTCTTTGTGCAAATTGGCTAATCGGAACACCGATAAAAACCCCATTAGCACCATATGCCGAAGCTTCAATTGGCGCAAAGATAGCTAATGTATAATTAATGCAAAATTAAATGGTGAGCAGAGACACTCCATAAAGTTTAACGGCTGAGAAAAGAAAGCATCTCCAAATAATTGGTGTTATTTAAGACATTTTTTTAAAGGATCTGTTTGGTCAGGCTGGGAAGTGTTTGGTACACATCTGAGTCATGCTGATAGCTGTGGCTGAAAAATAACACATTGTGAAGTTAATCAGGTGCTGGCTCTTGTTCCCTCCCAGTGTTGTGTTGGCACTTAGTGAAAGGAACAACCTGTTGACAATCCAAAAACCTTTTATGCAGTCCCCTAACAACTGTCAACACCACAATGTGTGGCTGTAAGTTGTTAGAAGTCTGCAGTAGCACAAGACGCAAAGCTCCAATGACCTCGACATGGTCTTGTCTGACCAAGGTGTGCTATTCTCTCCTTTAAATAGAATAGAATAGAATAGAATAGATTCTGGGTTGAATAGAATGGAATGGATTAGATTCTAGGTTGAATAGAATAGAATAGTATAGAATAGAATAGATTCTGGGTTGAGTAGAATAGAATAGATTCTGGGTACAATAGAATAGAATAGATTCTGGGTTAATAGAACAGGATAGGGTAGGGTAGGATAGATAGGATAGATTCTGGGTTGAATAGAATAGAATAGAATAGAATAGAATAGAATAGATTTTGGGTTGAATAAAACCGGATTGGATAGATAGGATAGATTCTGGGTTGAATAGAATAGACTAGACTAGACTAGACTCTGGGTTGAGTAGAGTAGAGTAGAATAGAGTAAAAAAGTTTGAAGGGAACTTGGAGGTCTTCTAGTCCAACCCCCTGCTTAGGGAGGAAACCCTACACCACTACAGACAAATGGCTATCCAACATCTTCTTAAAGACTTCCAGTGTTGGGGCATTCACAACTTCTGGAGGCAAGTTGTTCCACTGATTAATTGTTCTAACTGTCAGAAAATTTCTCCTTAGTTCTAAGTTGCTTCTCTCCTTGATTAGTTTCCACCCACTGCTTCTTGTTCTGCCCTCAGGTGCTTTGGAGAAGAGCTTGATTCCTTCTTCTTTGTGGCAGTCCTGAGATATTGGAACACTGCTATCATGTCACACCTGGTCCTTCTTTTCATTAAACT